TGGTCTATTTCTTGCCCCAGGATATGATCAGCTCTAGCTGTGCTATTTTTGAAAATGTTTGTTTGGCTTGTACCTAAAGACCCTCCAGAGCTGGGATGCCCTAAATTTCCCTGCATAATCTCTTTTTTGTGATTAACTCCTCAAAACTAACTAGCTAGTGGTTGAGAATGAGTCTTTCTGTCTGAATTTCAGGTCTGCTTGCCCTTGCCACCACCAGCATGGATGCAAATTATTATTCTTTTTTGCAGCTCTTCACTCAGAAGGAGTGACAGCGTCATTCCTTTGGTGAAACATGGTTCCAGTCCTGCTCTTTTGTGCCTGCAACTTCCTGCAAGGGGCTACTGAACAGTTTAGGAAATGCAGATTAGGAATGGCCATGGTGGAATGGAAGAGGAGCAGGAGGGGAGATAAAATCTCCTTTATGACAGAACACATTCCTTTAGTTCTCTTCATCCTGCTCATTCTATCCCTTTGAAGTTAAAAGTTACAATTACTTCAATGACTTATTCCTGTAGATAACTTCATACCTAAAGACCTGGCTAAAAAAGCTGCAGGAACATTTAGCCCTTATTTAAACTAAAACCACAGCCTTTGCAAATATTAAACTAAACAGCCAAAACAATAAATAAATTCACACATATATGTATACATAGCATGAATCTGGTTTAATTAGCATTTTGCTTTTCCTAGACAATCTTTAAATATCTGCCAATAACCATTCATTTTCATTATTTTAATAGCTTCTGGGAATACAAACATTTTTATTATCCATTAAACATTGGGTAAGCAATCATATTCTATCTGTGCATTTATCATGTAACAGTTATAACTTGACAGACTTCAGAGCTGTCTTCACAGCATTTAACAGAAGCCACCTGATTTGACAACTAGGAACTGCATAAGTCTGCATTTCAATGCAAATTATTTAAACTCATAATCAATAAACTCTGGCCCATTCTCAAGCACTATCATTACCATTATAGTAAAAGAAAATATTCTGTGCTTTGCTGTAAAATAGTCCTAGAAAGGCTTTCTTTAAAAACACAGTAGGTTAGGTAAGAAAAATTGTTTTTCAAGGCAGACAAAATCTATACCAACTCCTATACCACTGTCCAGTGCTGTTATGTTGGTTTTCTCAGGTTTTTGGTGATTGTGACAAAACATAACAATGTTCTCATTGTGGCTTTCTAATTTAAATTAACATCGATTCTTTCCTTCAACTGGGTTTTCTTCAGGTTCTGTGTGAATTTCCTTTATTAACATGTCTTGGCTTCAAATTTCTTATACTCTTCCTTTCCTCTCTTCTCTTAGAAACTGTTTTTCAGTCCTTGATTCCTCTCCCTGTCCCTCTAACTAAATAGCATCTTATTTGACATGCTCTCCTCTGTCTCTTATTCTCATGATAAAGTTGGCCCTTTGGCCTTAAACTGAGCTCCCATCTTTTGCATTTTCATCCTTTATCCTATCCACCAGAAGTGTTCTAGTTATGTATGGGGGGCACACAGCTCCTGACATTTGTGTCCTACAATTTCATAATGGGCTTTTTGCTGAAATGACTGAAAAGATATTAAAAGATCAAATTGTTTAGACTCAGATATTAAACTTTCAGTCCATATTCCTTGAGATTTTCAATTTGGTGGGACTTGTACCAACATTTCATGTGGAACTTCTTTTGCTTGTATTTCCACACTTTGCACTTTTTGTAAGCAAGGAATCCAACAGAGGACTGCTTCATTTGATATCTCACCTGGTCTGGCCAGCCCAAAAAAGTATAGAACTCTGCGCAGAAAAAGAAATTTCGTTTGGCCCTTGTCAGAACCTCTCCAAATTTCCCCTCTCCCACCACAAGAATTAAATACTCAGTGAACATAAAGAAAAGCATGAACTTTCTCCATCAGCACAATTTGCAGAAATAGAAGTGCTGGTGAGTTCTGTCAGTTAATGTAAATCAGCACGGTTTGCCCAGAGGTATTAGAGCCTCACTAAGGTGATATCAGTAGCAGCTAAAGAGTTGGGCCATGAGTTTGCAAGATGGTTTTCTGATTAAATATATCCACTGGATATAAAAACCTGCAGTGTCCTTTCTGTTCTTGCCTTAATCTTTTTTCTGCCATCTGACCATTCCACCACAGTCAATGCGGAAATCTCCCCACTGGAAACACTGAGACCAAAGGATGTGCTATTGCCAAAAGCTGTCTGTTAACAGAACATCAAGATGTTTTGTTCTACAATTCCAGCTCTAAGCAGCTTAATCTTTGATGTCTTTCCAAGAACCCTAAGTTTCTTTTTCCATTAATGGAAACAATTTACATGTACCTGAGCTCTCACACATAGCTAAGCATCTCTGTCCATAGCTAAAATAAAAGGCATGTTTTGAACAAGAGGGCCTTGATAGCTATTTATTAACACTGGCACTTGTAGAAAATGTTCCTGTTGCTGAGTGAGGTTAGTCAGAATTTCCTTTTCTTTCTAGATTCAGCCTCTACAAGGAAAGCTGTTAGAAAAAACAGCAATGCAAATTCATTTTTCTTTAGGGATTTCTTTCTGGAACACTGTAAGCACACAATTTGTGGTAGCTGGGAGTGGGGCTGTGGCCGAGCCTCATCCCCAATGGGCTGCAGCTGTGAGCAGCAGGTGAGCAGCATTGACAGCAATGAGCCATGGAGTGCCCAGGGGCACTGACCAACCACCAAAGGGAGCAGAGGGCACACACGTGCAATGCATGAACTTGAGGGTATAAAAGGCTGGGCTGAAGAGCAAGAAGGGCAGATGCTTACAGTTTCTGAAGTGGAATGGTGTTACTGTGTATGGGCAGATGCCTGAAGCCTTCCTTCTGCTGTGGTATGGTGTTACTCTGTTTGGGTGAATCCTTAGAGCCTTCTGAACTTGTATGGTGGCACTCTGTGTATCGTGGCTGTCAGGACTGCAGTGTATGCTGAGACACCATGCCAAATATTTCAAGTCAAATTTTTGTGAGGAAATTCCTTTATATTAAATGTATCCACTTCACAAGTATTCTTGGCTGGCTTAATTTGGGCTTCTATCTAAAAAACCCTATTTATTATGGATATGTAAAAGTACCTGTGAATTGATTCATGCACCACAGTTAAGATGTGAATTCTTCCTAATTTACAATCATAGAATTCAAGTATTTTCTGAGTTACAAAGAACTTGTTAAGATCATCAAAGTCCAGCTCCTGGCCCTTCAGGGGATTACACCATGTGCCTGAGCATGCTGAGAATGCTCCTAAGATGCATGCTGTCTGAATGCTTCTTAGCACTTTGGCCACTTCCCTGGGAATAGAACATTTCTGTGAAAATTCCAAAATTACATCATATTCAATGCACTAGAATCTCATTTTAGGTAAAACTGTCTTTTTATGTATAGTTCATTATTCTAATATTGTTTTGAATTATAATGCCACAATACCTTCTATGTATAGACCACATGAAAATTCTGTGCTGTGAAAATATTTTCCTTTAACCTTGAAGTAAAGCTAATGTATAGTCTTGTGCACTCTACAAGCATTTGTATTCTAGTTCAGATTAACTTGTTGTAGGTGCTGAGCATAGGTAAATATGTTATTTGTCTAAACTTTTGTAGTTATAACACTGCATAAAAATTTAAACTGGTGCATAACCATGTCAAATATCATCTAGATGCATATACTTGAGGAATCAAAATAGATTTCTCCTGGCAAGAAAAGCTTAGCAACACCACATTTAAGACAGCTACAGGAGGAGGTATAACATGGGTGGTTTTTTAGATCAAGACTTTGATGTTTCTTTAGATTTCCAGTAAAAACTGGCGGACTTCTGCCTGTAATTGTATGAACTTCTGAAAGGCTTCACAGTAGATAAATGCTGAGTTTAGATTCCTGATGTACCACTTGCATCCTGTATGGATTCAGTCTGTGATCCCTAAGATCATCTTCAACTGTCCATCCCTTCATAAACACCAGCCTTCAAAGAAGTCTGTTTTGAAATGAGGATTATTTGAATTTGGGTTCTGCTTCTGTTCAAGTGAGGGGTCATCTTTCGACCTTGCCCACATTTTAGTGAAACTGATTTTCTGGTCTTTCTAAAGAGATAATGATCACATCCTGCTGAGAACTGCTCAGTTTTTTAGCTTGAAGTAAAGAACATGATTATACTGTTTCACTTGGTACAGTCTTCTCTTTCTTTCATTTCAACTGCCATTTATCAATGTCTCACAGTACCATGATTCAGTTTGTGTTATTAGGACTCCTTCCATGTAGATTAGGATAATAAATTTTAGATGATCTGTTTTCAGAATCAGACATATTGCTGCCTAAATCTAACAGGGAGGAGAACTCTTGTAAAAAAGGAGAAACTCTTGTTTTAAAAAGTCCTTTGTTTTAAGTGCTGGCATAGTTATTAAAAAGGTTGAATTTATGTTCTTTTAATTTCCTTAGATATATTAAAACTTTATAAATGAAGCTCAGCATGTTTCTAGGCATTCATCTATTTGTTTATTGAGACTATTTTGTATCATTGAATAAAGAAAACATCATTTCTTGCTTAGCTGTTAATATGCTTCTGCTTTCAGAATTCACAGATTTGAAACTGGTTTGCTTTTACTTTTTTTATTATCACTTTAGGTAAGATTCATGTATAAAAATGCTAGAATAGCAGTTATTGCATTTATTCTCTAGTTGTTGAAACTCTTATTACCTAATACAGTAGGATATTAGAGTACACTTAATACGTAAACAGCTGCTGTGAGATTTGAGGCTGCTTTTTAACTATTTTTAAGCCTTCAATTAAATCAAGCTTTGTGCCCTTGAAAAATTATCCTGCAACAGATTTCTTGGCAAAAACTCTTGACATGGAAAAAGAATGTACAAAGGTGATTGTCTGTTCTCTTAACTAATCATCACTTTTCTAAAGAGGAAAACAGTATCTTCAGCAGAATTTTGAGGAGTGGGCAACAGTTTCTGACCTTTCTCTGACTCTCTTTTAGGTCCAAGGGAAGTCTGCTACTACTCTGCCATGGTGGATAAAATGAAGGTAAGGAACCCAAAATGGTCCATTAGTTCTTGGCAAGAAAACTGGAGATTGTAGTGTTCCTGATGGTGGGACCAGTGTATGAGGTATGTGTAGTACATATACACGTAGTATAGAAAGTCTTCAGCTTTCCCTGTCCTGTCCCTTCCTGGGGTAGTTGATATCTACTGATTCATTTTTCTTTCCAAGGAGCAAAGGTAATGGATGTTCCTATAGAACATAGGAGCCAAATACATTCTTGAACCAGAATGTTTTCTCAGCCTTTGGAAATCAAGAAGCTTAATCTAGTTTTAAAGTAATTTTCATAAAGTAGGTCTCCTTTACAAACTTTTCTTTAGATTTACATCAGTGATGCATTCCTTATGATTGAAATTAGATAGAAATCAGAGGTAGGGCCTTTATCAAGCTTTACACTCTAGCCAAACATATATACATGTTGAATTTCCTCTTTAAGGCCCATGGAGACTTTTCCTTATCTGTATTCTCTCCCTGCCATCTTTGTATTCTATTAAAAATTAATGGATTACCTTGACAACAGCCACCTGAACTGGCAAGATTTCCCTTGTAATTTTTTCTTTTTTGGTTGAGAATTGCAGGTTAAGGTCAAGCCATTCTGAGACCAGAGTAGACTGTAAAGAACACCCCCAATGGATTAGTCCTAATTTATTTGACCCAGGTGTTCCTGTAATTGTGACACACTGAAAAATTTCACAGTGCTTTAATGGCCCTTAAACTTACATTTCCACCTGCTCTTTCTGGCAGTGTGGTATTGCTCTAGTTCCTTATGTTCCTTTGTTTATTTAGGTGTGTTTCTTTGTTTCTGTATCTAATTTAGCACATTTTTAAAAAGAGGGAATAGTAAAATTTAAAAGGCTGGTAGTGGGAGTTTCTCACATTACCACCACATGCACTACTAACACACAGGTGTTCACCAGAAGAGCAGGTAAAGTAGGGTGTGAATGATATTCATAATGAATGTTTCCCCAGATGCAATTAAACATCTGTTATATACACTATGTAGCTCATTTCTTTCCTGCATCACTATCAGAACAGGTTAAAACAGAACCCCACAGGGAGTTCCCCAAAACTTGCATATACCCACCCATGTCTTTTTTGATGGGGTGAAAGACAACCTCATTTCCCTAAACAACCTTATATCAGAGAACTTCAGCAGCAAGCTCTCTCAACATCTCATGCTAGAACCTGCTTATTCTGTGATCTGTGCTCTGGAAGACGCCAGTTCTGCCACATTTGGAAGATTGTTCAAGCAGTTCATAGTGTGGTTGTTGTAAACAATGACTTCTACCAGGAAAGCAGACAAAGAAACCAGGCATGAAGAAAATTCAGGAAGACAAGAGGGAAGGGTAGCAAGCTGAAGTCTAAAACACCCACATTAGAATGCTTTTCCATAATAACCAAGAACCAAAGAGCCTGGAAGAATCTGCTGGTCAGTGTCTTACTGAATAATGTTGCAAAAAATAAGCCTCTGCAGCTCAAAAATGCTAGGATCTGCTTTTTTATAATGCTTTGTACTTGTAGTTTACCCAAAATAGTAACAAACCAGCAAGAATCAGGATTATCTTCTTACAGAGGTTCAAGTACACATCAACTTATCTACTAAATTAGTTATACCTTTTAATCTTCTGTCAGGTCTTTGGGGTATAGTTTTGATGGTCATTCTCATTGAGGACAATTCCTTCAATTAAGCACAACTTTGATATTGTATAATAAACCCCAATCTAATGATTTCTTGATTCTTGCTTCAAAATTACCTTGGCTGCATTTATATGTGCTTGTCTTTTGCTTTTTTCCCCCTCTCAGTTTTCAGCAGTAGATACTGCCCATGCCATTCTTTTCAGGTATAACCAGTACTAAACATTGACTTTTAAATCAAACCATTCCATTTCACATCTTTCCTTTTTCAGAAAACTGCCTTCTTGCCCCCTTCAACTGCCTCCAATTCAGCTGCTCACAGTCCAGGAGGAGTTGTTGGCACTTGATGTTGCTAAATGTATGTAAGACTTTGCTTCCAGCCTCACCACAGCTGCATTTCAGCACTGTAATGATTTATTACTTCACTGAATTTCATCTGCTCTGTCGTCTTGGCATTTATGAGTTTGAATTGACCGATGTCCAATGTAATAAAAGTACCAAGCATGGGTCAAGCATGTCTGACACTTGTACATTGTTATCAGCGGGCTGAGGAGTTTAGCTCTCCATCATCCAAAGTCATGTCTTCCAATTCATCTAAACTTCTTATTATCCAGCTGAAGAACGTGCTGAAAAGTGACCATGATTGCCTTCTTATTTCAGACTGAACACTGACCTGAAGCTTTTGTTTCATTTCTGTCACTGTTTGCCCTACAGTACACATAGCTTCTATAGATGTTATTGTTCCCTGGGTGTTATTGCTGTATGTTTTTTCCTGCTATCCATCATGGGGTCCTCCTAAAGAAGACTTTCTAAAATTAATGGAAATGTCTTCTAGCCCTATTTTCTTTCTTCTTTGTCTTCTCCTCCCCGCAGCCTTTGCTGAAGTTGACGTTCTGGCTTGTGGCCAGAAATCATGTTCTTTCCCAACAAGCTTGTAACAGTTTGGTCTTTTGATCTTATAGCTTTCTGAAAGATAGAGTGGGAAAAAAACCAAATGAGACAAAACACATGTATAGATATACAAGTAAAAATGGTACACATTCATTTTGGAATTCCTTGCTTACTATGGTTACTTTCTGTTAAGATAACCTCTACCATCACCTGCATTACTGCATAAATGGAAGTGCAGTAGAGCAGAGTCAATCTGGCTAAAAGGTAAAATACCAACAGCTGTTGACGCACCACAGCACAAGGTACAGGCCAAAACTTCTCTTAGCACCAGGACTGGGTTGAGGTTTTTTCTCTGGTTTTTCACTGAGCCAACATGGACTTATGTGATAGACAGTAAACGATACTAAGATAACATAGCAGGAAGCATGTTGTCTTCAAATTGCACACCTGCCAAACATCCCACTTTTTTTTTTCCTCAAAGTAAATATGCTGGCAGGAGGGAAGTCTGTAAAAACACCAAGACTGCCTTAAACACCAGTTCTGTTCGCTGCTTCAGAGGACAACTTTAGATCATAGTGCTGAGCAGAGAGAGGAGAGTTGAATTTAGGACATACTACCTAGATAGGTGTTATTGTTCCCTTTTAAGGAAGAAACACGGCACTGTTGGAATAAATCTGTAGAGTACAAGAGTTGTAACTGAGGGTTTAATGCAGAATATATGCATTTCAGGATTTCCTATTACTTTTCGAGGCTCAGAGCTGATGTTCTTCTCTGCCTGATGTCCTTCTCTGCCTATCTCTTTGAGGCTAGGGCATCTTCCAGAATTTGTTTTACCTGAAAGGAACCTAGCCCATGCTGTTCTGAGACCCCTTGCAGAGTCTCTGGAAAGTTATGCTGAAATGTCCCCTTAATCCACTTTATTACATCAGTATGGACACCTCCAGGGAAAAGTGAAAGATAAAGACCTATGATGGAAATCAAAAGAGAAGAGCAAAATATAAATGCATTAAAGATGTGCAAAAGGAGGTCTATACTGACTGCAGAGCCAGGAATTTATGTATTCCAGATAGTCCAAATTCACAAGGATCTTTGGTTCACTGGTTGTTCTTTTTTTAGAGGAAATAATTAGATGTCTTGTGAAAGCTTCTTATCTCCTTCTTCTATTTTTATAAGAGAATACATAAACTATGCAATAGACATGGAAGTGAAAAATCACTTCTAACAGTGGTAATTTCCTCTTTCATTAGAACCTTTTTATGTTTCCTCTTGCAAGCCTATTATTTTGGGGAAAATGGGAAAGTGGAAGAAGAAAATAAAAGGCAGAAAAATTAAGACAGATTTCTTTTGAGTTGGGGAAAAATGTAAGCCAAACAAATGTCTTTAGAATGATACAAAGATTTTTTTTTTTCCCTTTAAAAATTTTAGCTACTATCCTTATGTTGAAAAAACTGTTTTCATATTTTTACCAGTTTGGACTCCTCAAGTTTTTAGACTGAGTGTGTTTGCTTGCAGGTGGGTGATGAGAATGAAGAGATTATATTGTCATTCTTTTGCATGTTATTATATTTTTAATTCCCATAAGATAGTACTCAGAGAGCTTACTTTCTATTAAACAGAAAATATTTTTACTAGTAAATTACATGCTAGAAACATTAATTTCAATTGTAGCTTCTGCAGTGCTTCAGTAGCCTTGGGTATTTTCATTTTTTGCTTAAATATTTTATATTTTAATATTTTCACAATCAGAACTTACATGTATTACTATGCCTAATGCCTCAGATTTCTGCCCTTTAAACAGTACCATCTTTTCTGACATATCATATCCCATTATTTAAAAGTGTAGGAACCATTTGGGCGCTCATACTTTCAAGGGGCAGAGTTTAAGAATTTTAGTGTTGAATTCATAAATTTCTATGTGTTTTACACTATAATCACCCAGACAATCCTTTTGCTTTAGAATAGCTACATATTCTCACATGTAAATAAGTAGGCATCAGCTTGTATTGTATGTGCAAAGTGGTATACCAGCCTTGCTTATCTTCTATCTCTGCTGCATTTACCATCTGTCTGTTAAAATATCACTTTGGCGTTGAAGGGATTCAATAACTTCAGAAAAACTTTTACGCCCTTGAAAATTTGAATTTTATCTTCTTATCTATGAGTTTTTAATCTCCAAGTTATGCTGTCTTAATGCTCAGGTAGCCAACATTCAGTCCCAGGCTAGAAAGCTATTAAATTCAGATGTCTCGCAATACTATTGTACTGGAAATTAAGACTTCCTGAGGAAAATAAACCTCATTCTCACAACTCCCAAGGACTACTAGCTCTCCTAGAGTTTTAAATAATTATGTTCTTAAGCATAAACAAGTTATTATAGGTTACTTTTGCAATCTGTCAAAACATTTCCCTGCATTATCCTCGTGCATGCTGCAGAACAAATCTAAGAATGAGGCAGTAAG